CATCTAAGCTATCTTTTTTGTGAGGACCAACCAGGAACAGAATTTCACGTGACAAAATTCCCATTATCTTTCTGTCCTTGATCACTTACCTACCTGCAATCACCCCTCGCATCTCTCAGAGAACTCACTCAGGCAGTTCTCTGTTGCAAAAAGAATCGTTGGCGACGCGCACTGGGCGAGCCCGTGCAATCATGCGTTTTTGCAGTGTTTTGTGCTGCAGTAAGATCACTCGAAATTCCGGTAGCTAGAAACCTCTTGTACATACTGGTCCTCGAATTTCGGGAAGTTAATTATCCACGCTATACTTGGCCAGGGAGCATTCCTTTGAAATCCCAGGTTCCCAGCTTTCTCAGTTCCCGAGTTACCCAAATTGCAGCCAGAAAATTTCACGGGGCCGTGCGTAGCAACCACGCATGAAGGGGAGGAGAGAGGGGGGCTGAATTTGGCAAAATTTATGTTGTAAATGAGTTGGGAGCATTTCCTGAAAGTTTCATTCTCCCAGCTTCGCTGATTCAGGAGTTATTCATTTTTCCGCCAAAAATTTTCACGAGGCCGTACGTGGAAACCATGCATGACGGGAGGCTGAATTTGATAAATTGAAGTTGTAGATGAGTTGGGAACATTTCTGAAAGTTTCAGCCTCCCAGCTTCCCCAGTTCCAGAGTTGTCCATTTTTCCGCCAAAAATTTTCACGGGGCAGTACGTGGAAAAAAATGCATGACGGGGGGTTGAATTTGATAAATTTAAGTTGCAGATGAGTTGGGAACATTTCATGAAAGTTTCAGCCTCGCAGCTTCCCTGGTTCTGGAGTTATTCATTTCCCGCCAAAAACTTTCACTGGGCCGTACGTGGCAGCCATGCATAACGGAGGGCTGAATTTGACAAATTCAAGTTGTAGATGAGTTGGGAGCATTTCCTGAAAGTTTCAGCCTTCCAGCTTCCTTAGTTCAGGAATTACTCATTTTCCCTCCAAAAACTTTCACGGGGTTGTACGTAGCAGCCGCGCATGACGAGGGGCTGAATTTGATAAATTGGAGTTATAGATGAATTGGGAACATTTCCTGAATGTTTCAGCCTCCCAGCTTTCCTGATTCCCGAGCTAGCGATTTTCGCGCCAGGAACTCTCAGGGGGCTGTACGCGGGAACCA